ATAAATTGTGTCTCTCTGCCAGTGCTTTTTTAAAACTGCTATACAGGGACCACATGCATCAAAATTATTTGGGCTGCATATTAAAATGCAGATTTCTGGGCCAGTTTCAGAGATTCAGAGTAAGCAGGCCTGGCATTTAATCACTTCCTCAAAACATGCTGAAAATAATTCTAGCATCTTATCCTTCCTCATAGCTCCCCCAGTCCCTATGTTTTCTTCTAGGTAGTTTGGATTTCAGATCTGAGCTACATAAACTTCCCTGTTGCCAGGGACTAGGAATCAGCCCAGCCATCAGCATCACCACCCCACTCCCCGCTCATCAGTCCTGCTGAAGCTGTAGGGATACAAAATCCAAGGGTGAAGCAAAAAAATAGAGTCTGAGGAATCACCTCAAGCAAGTGCCAGTGATAGGCTCTGACTTGAAGGCAAGGTAGCTGAGAAGACCAGAAGGTTATAGATGCAAGGAAGGATGGGAAGTGTGGTGGGAAGGGGACAGCCAGGCCAGTATCCCAGGGCAGCAGGCTCTGGCTGCCATGTGCTGCAGTGGGGCCTAGTTTCAAGACCCAGGGATGGGATTCAAGACCAGATCATACCCTTTTATTATAGGCTGCTGAGAAAATTAAAAAAGATTATACATTGAGATATTCAGAGTGTGTTAAGAAGCTTACAATAGGAGAGGAAAGTTTTGAGTCAAAAAAAAAATTTGCCTTAAAATTTAATATATGGCCTATCACTCAAAAAAGATTCAGTTCTTACTATTTAATCTGTTACATTTAAAATTAATTCCTTTGTGTTTTCAGAATCATTTATCTTATTCATTCAATGAATATTTGTCAATGACTGCAGGAGATACAATGCTAAGCAAAATCTGTATTGGTTCCTGCCCTTATGGGGTTTCTATTCCACTAGAGAATCATCAAGCAAATAATTACATAAACAAAAGCATAATTACAAACTGCATTAAATGTTATGACAGTGAGCCTCATGGTGTTATAAGGTTATATTACAGGAGAGCCTGACCTAGTCTGGAAAGGGGGGCCAGGAAGGTGTCTCTGAAGAATTAACACGTGACCTAAGAACTGAAGAATGCATAAAAGTTAACCAGACTTGGTGGGGGGAATGGGGGAGCATTTCAGACAGAGGGAATGGCATGTCCAAAGATCCTGAAGTGGACTGAAAATGTCCAAGAAGACATTTGACATTTGTCAAATGAAAGAAGGCAAGTATGCCTGATTCAAAGTGTGAAGAGAAGAGGATTCACATGAGGCTGGTGTTTTCGAGCACAGACCAGACTTTGCCGCACCTTGCTGGTCTTGCTAAGTAGACAGTTCTTTAGCCACGAAAAATGAGAACCACGGAAGCATTTAAGAAGGTGATGGTATTGTCAATTTAGACTGCAATGTCAAGAGCAGATGATGAGGGCCAAAGCTGGATGTGAGACCAATCAGGTTTCTATGGCACTAGATTCGTTAAGAAATAACTATGGCTTGGGCAAAGAGAGAGGGATTGAGAGAAGAGGACAGCTTTGAAACTCATCTCAGAGATATCAGTGACAAGACTTAATAATGGATGGGACACTGTTGAAGGAAAGGAAGAGATGAATCAAGGATGATGCCCAGGTGCCTGATTTGTACCATTAAATGGAGGATTGTGTTCTTCACTGATGGAGGGAAGGTGCATTTAGGAGAGCTGGCTTTGGAGGGGTAAATGCAGTTGGCTCTTAAACAGTATGAATTTGAACTGCACAGGCCCACCTACCTGTGGATTTTGTTTGAAAAATATGGTACTATAAATGTATCTTCTGTTTCTTATAATTTTTCCTAATAATATTTTCTTTTCTTTAACTTACCTCATTGTAAGAATACAGTACATAATACATATAACATATAAAATATGTTAATTAACTGTTTATATTTATCAGTAAGGCTTCTGGTCAAAAGTAGGCTATTAGCAGTTAAATTTGGGGGGGGAGTTGAAAGTCATATGTAGACTTTCAACTGCACCAACTCCTATGTTATTCAAGAGTCAACCATAATTGAGTTACCATTAGAATGTATTTAGTTTGAAGTGTTTTTGAGGCATTCAAATGGAGGCCTTGAGTAGGCAACTGAGGCTTCGCAGTCCATCTGTGCTTTGGTGGCAAGTGAACTTGTAAGCACGGATGAGATCTCTCAATGATTCCATATAAACCAATGGTAATATAGCATATTGCATATATAGTGATTATATATCTGCATATAGTAGTGCATATATAGCATATTGCATATATAGCATATATAGTGGTTGAGAACAGGGGTACTAGAATAAAACTGTCTTGATTTACATCCCAGCTTTGTCACTTTCTAGCTGTGAAGTCATGAAGAAATTGCTCAAATACTTTAACCCAAATTCTCATATTCAATAAAACAGAGACAATAATATTCCCTACCTTATAACACTGTTGGGAGTATTAAGTGGCAGGATGGATTTAAAACTCATAGTATGGTTCTCAGAATCTAGTAATTATTCTATTAACCAGTCATTAAATGTGAACTTTAGTTCTCCCAGAGAGCACAGAGTTAGTAAGCAAGACCTAGGACTAAGCCTTGATGACATCCATTGCTTAATGGGTGGATAAAGAAGGATGGAGAACAACCAAGTCATGGTTGGAAACTGTGCTGTCCAAATCTACCCAGCAGAAAAACTAAGTCAGCAGACCCATATGGAAGCTGCTAGGGTGAGTTAACCTTTTCAAAGTGACTAGAAGAGGAGGCCAGAATCCTTGAAAGGAACCCAAAGTCAAAGGCCTAAATAGGTCTAAAGATAAAAGGAGATAATAACAATGCAGAGTGAGGAACAAGCTGGAAACAGGCCTATAGCAGGTCAGAAACCAGGGAGTTAGGGGCTGGGAAATGCTAACCATGTGATGCCCAGAGCATCCTATTAAAGGTAGATGAGTAGGATGGGAGAAGCCACAGTATTTCATAAGATTCTTAAGTAGATAGATGTCTGCTCCTCAAAACCCCCTACCATAGAAATATTAAAATTGTCCTAAATATAAACAATAAAATAACAGAATTTAGTAGCCCTTCTTGTTTAAGTGTTTAAGAGTATCCTACATTATATAAGTTGAGTCATGACACAGTATGAAATTTTGATGCTTGCACATTATGTTACTACATTATTCTTAAAAATGTATATATTTTTTGGTATTCTTGATTAGTGTTATTATTTGGGGATATAATATACCAGACAGCTATATTCAAAATGTTCTGAAAATGTTCTTCGATATGATGATAATGACAATGGTAATAGTGGTGTCACCAGTGTTGTTATCAATGTTGTCTAGTGACAGTAGGATCTGGTCAAACATGACACCTGTGTTATAAGAAAAGATATATATGTGTATGTGGGGTGTATGTGGAGGGGGTTGGGGGGTGAGGAGAGAGAAAGTAAGTGAGAGAGGAGCATACAATGGCAAGAAAACTTAATTAAAAGCAAATTTGGATTGACACCAAATATATAGCAATAGAATTTACATTATTAAAGTATTGATATTGGCTCATGCTCCTAGAAGTCTATTCTCATTATTATGATAGCTTCTATTTCTCCCATTAGATTGATGAATTGCTGAAGGAAGCAAAAAGTGAATTTGTCTCAGTAAGTGAAAATCATTTGATTGAGTATAAATTTCTTTTGGTCCAGCCCCAATACTAAAATAGTCACAGGTTGAATGTCAAATGGTCTCTACCCCAGGCTAATCTCAAAGACAAGCATGTGAGCTGATTCAAAGGAAGAAACATTATTACTAAAATTGAACAAATATCTTGGGAAATATTTAGATAGGCTAAATCTACCTTAATTTTTTTTTCCTGAGTAGAAATGTTGTTCTGAATGGTCTCAGGCTGACACTGTTTACTTATTGATTGCATCTTTCCCACTGTGTCTTCAGCATTATTAGTCCTAGGGATCATTTCTGAATGCAGCTTTTAAATTTTTTTAATGAGGACATTATAATGTATTAAAGTCAGGCAGAAAGTGAAAAGTAACTATCTCTCCGCACACATCCATAGGCATATATACACTTCAACAATAATTCCTCTTCCTCATCCTCCTCATCTCCCTCTTGCTGCCTTGAGTCTCTTCAGAATCTTTGGGTTTTATTGGAGTTTCAGAGCAGGGTAAAAATCACTCATCCAATCCTCACCTTCTATTTCCACTCAGTTAAGAACCTGGCAGAAGGAGCAAGTGGAGGATCATAGCACAGTTATCAGCTTTACCAGCAGTAAAGCCAGATTTAATAACACTGCACAATCCAAACACAGTATCAGCTTTATGTTATAGGCCAAAGAAGACAGGGCACTTTGTTAAACTTTGCAGAAAGTGTAGCCCCAACCTACTAGTTGTCTGCTCCAGGTCTACACCTGGACACCCACTGGACAAAAACGTCTCATCCAGCCACAAGTGGAGAGGCAAGAACAAGAGTCTTGGCTGGACCCACCAGTGATAAGCTAACCATGTGGACACTTGAGACAGGCACATGCAACTCCTATGCGCACCTGAGTCAGAGAGACCAAGAGAAAAAGAACAATGACCTTGAACTCTTAAATTTGCCCAGTAAAGAAATGTGGCCAAGTAGATGGCATGCTGTCCCTACATTCATCAATCAGGAAAACCGTCTTCTTCTCAAGAGAAGAAATAAGTTAGCAAGAAGGGGCAGGCTATAGAACACCTTTCCCAAGAGGGCCACTGACCATTCTAGATCCATGCGGAGAAATTATTGTATTTCATCACTTCTCTAGTGGAAATAATACATAATTGTTTTTCCTTTCATATCAAGCACTGGTTATAGATGGCCCAGAAATCCAAAGACAGAAAAGACTTTAATGAGGTAAAGTTTAATTATTCATGTTTACCATTTTGGTGATTATTAACCCTCTTTTTCAACTGGCAGTGAAGGATTTCTGGAGATCAGCTAACTCAGTCACTCTGAAGAAGCTGATACAGTTTGTTGTAAATGTGTTTTGCTTCACAGACAATAGCGCTGTGATGGAATGGTTAGTCCATGAATCTGTGAATAAATGAATAAATCACACACCTGTTAAATTGTGTGCTGCACATAATGAAGGGGTTGTGATGTGTTTTTTTTTTAAAGCAAAATGTTGCTTCTTTCCATTTGCTGCTCCTAAACAATTTCTAAATGTAATGTCTTGTATATCTCCCATTTTAGTGAAGCTCAAAGTACTTCATGGAATATGAATTCTAACTTTATTTATTCTCTCCATTAATTCTCAGAGTTGCAAATACAAACACTGTGATTTGGCATATGAGCAAATTAAAATATATCAACATTCTGATCCTGTACCAAGTCATATTGTAAGTAAAATATGGAGAAGTAGGAGCAGTAGAGTCTGGCTGGCACCATCGGCATGCTGTTCACCTGGGCAGATACCCTGTGGAAGGGTATAGGTGTACAGCATCCTAGAAAAACCCACATAAGCCTTCAAGTCTCAGGTACCAATTCAGAAATACTCACCATGGATGAGATCTTCATGCCAGGAATGTGGTCGTTGCATCCAGTGGGCAGTCAAAGGAAAAAGAAAACCATAAAGCGACTGGGTTTTCATTTGTGCATGGATACCTTCTGAGTTATCCCTGGTATCTTATAGCTTTAAAACAATCTCTTCTTCCAGAGTAGGGATGTGTACTCCATTACGAATGAGGACATTACATCTTTATCTAAGCTAAACAATAATTACAACATTGATTTTGTCCTACTTTGTACGTATTATCTCCCAAGATATGCAGGGAACAGACTATAGGCTTTGGAGCCAGACAATTTAGCTTTAAATTCATGTTCCACATTTTAGTTTTCATTGGCCAAGCTACCTAACTTACCTGAATTTCTTTACTCATCCAAAAAATAGCAGTCAAATTATTATAGAGTAGGGATGTTGGGAGAAGTGTGTGTGTGTGTGTGTGTGTGTGAGCCAGACAATTTAGCTTTAAATTCATGTTCCACATTTTAGTTTTCATTGGCCAAGCTACCTAACTTACCTGAATTTCTTTACTCATCCAAAAAATAGCAGTCAAATTATTATAGAGTAGGGATGTTGGGAGAAGTGTGTGTGTGTGTGTGTGTGTGTGAGCCAGACAATTTAGCTTTAAATTCATGTTCCACATTTTAGTTTTCATTGGCCAAGCTACCTAACTTACCTGAATTTCTTTACTCATCCAAAAAATAGCAGTCAAATTATTATAGAGTAGGGATGTTGGGAGAAGTGTGTGTGTGTGTGTGTGTGTGTGTGTGTGTGTGTGTGTAAATGAAACACGTAACACATTTGGATTGAAATAAACTCATAGAAGTTAGACACTTTTAATGGGATTTGGCCACTTTATGTATTAATTTATGTATTGGTCCACTTGGTCCATATATATTTACCTATAACAGCATCAAAAGAGATTTTTTAACATGAAATATCATAAAGGCAAAAGAAATAAAAGGAAGGAGAAGGAGAGGGAAGGGTAGAGAAAAAGGGAAAAGAGAAAAAAAAATGAACTAAAAATTACTGAATGCCATATTACTAAGATCTACAGTTGCATTGATAAACTACATATGTATGCATATACATATACATATACATACACATATACATATAATGTACAGTGCAGTTCTGATACAATTTATGTAGGGGAACAAAATTTGCCACCCCAAAATGTATCTCCTTGCGTGAAAATTATTTTAGGCTGATTATTTTTAAGTCACAGGCTCAAGAAGTATTTCTTTTTTGCCACTCCCCTAACTGCCTAGAAGAATACAGAGAGAGGAACTGCTTGAGTAAGGGAGCTATCACCATAAATACCTACAGTATAATATAAACTAGGGGTGGAAGCCAGGGAGGAAACTAGCAAAGTCTGTTTGCTAAAATTCCTTCCTGTATTCCATTGCTTCTGTATGGCCCAGCAAACATTTGTTTACCAAACATTTACTCTTCCTGTGAATTGTCTTTATTCTTTCCTGTGAGCTGTCCCAGCCCCCTTATCCCTCCACCTCCCCCCCCCCATCCCCACCCCATCTCCTTAGCTCTGGATGGCATATAAGCCTCAATTGCCTGACTGCCTGTGGGCTTCATATTCTTATGGAGCCCCCAGACATCTGTAATTAAATTTCATTTTCTCTTGTTCATCTGTCTCATGTCAATTTAACTTTTAGACCAGCCAAAAGAATCTTGAAGGGTAGATAAAAATTCTTCCTCCCCAACAGTGGAGTAGCCAGCAGAATAAACTTTAACTGACTGAATGCTGCTCACTCCAGGACTGCTGCAGCTGAGAGATTCTGGAACTTCTGACAAAAAGGCCAGGAGAAGGTAAGAATTCTTACCACACCACTCTCCCAGTCTGTGCCTTCAGGCTCTAATGGAAACAAGAGTACTGAGAGTCCTTTTCTTTATCTACATTTAGATTAGTAGGAGAAAGTATTTATGGAACTATTACCTTGGGTATAGTGACTTTGGTAAAAATTTATTATGAGTATTGTTATTTTCTATTGATCCTTTTCCTCACAGAGATGGTCATTGTTTTTTCTTTTTCTTTCTTTTTTTTTGTCTCTGTCTTTTGTGTCATTTGTCATAAGAAATGGTGACCCACAGTTCTGATTAAGTTTTCTTCTCATCTTGTTCTATGTCTTGAGAGATTAGCTTTATGACCAGTAAGAATATTCTCTCTGGTAGCTGCTAGCTTGAGGATGCTTATACTGGCATGCATCTGGCAGGTGGCCCAACAGGTTACAGATCCAATAGTCAGCATTCTTTTTGTCCAAATGTGCCAACTCTCAGGGGAATTTGTCATAAGGAAATCCAGTTCATAAAGGTCCTTTTTCAACTCAACCAGACAGAAATGTGGGTTGCACTTTATTTTCAGCTAAATAAGGCTGGACAGAAATGTGAGAGTCACCCCATTTGTGGCTACATCTTTCTTAGACTAACTTTGGGAGCAAACTTTCTGAATCTTCTGAGGACTGTTTGTTTTCACTTTCCTTTGGGGACATATCTTACATCCATGGTCAAGCCATAAAAAAGCTTAGTGGTTTAAGTCGCTACTGAGATTAATATAAGATTCTACTCATCAATGGGCCAGACAATGAACCTCTTAAATTGACTATATTTGAAAGAAAAAAGTTTTGGAGAGCTCTCTCTTAAACACTTGTCTGATTGGTATAATGGCTAGCCTTAGGGACTCCTTAATAAGATGAAAGAACAGATTGGACATAGAACAAAAATCAAAGTCCACTCAGATCCCCTCATACTTGCTTTCAGACATTTGCAAGTATTGAAAAAAAAAAATCAAGACATTAGAAGGATAAGAAGAAATGAAAAATAATGAAAGTAACTGTCCTTATCTTACAAATCTTTACAAAACTAAAACAAAAAAACAAATCAACTCTACAGGCAATCCAAAGTCCATCCATGCCTTTTTACCAATCCTAAAACCTCACCAATTAATCTCAAAAGGCTTGTCAATTATTGGCCTTAGGAAAGCAAAGTCCTTCTTGGAGGAACTTGTATTCTTTTTCAGTCTCTTGAAAAAACAAATCTTACCATGTCTTTCAAATGTAACACCCCAGGAGGTATCTAAAACAATGTCCATACTCACCTAAGACAAGACAAGACAAGACAAGACAAGAAAACAAGAAAAGAAAAGAAAAGAAAAGAAAAAAGAAAAGAAAAGAAAAGAAAAAAGAAAAGAAAAGAAAAAAGAAAAGAAAAGAAAAGAAAAGTAAAGAAAAGAAAAGAAAAGAAAAAGAGTCTTTTAAAAATACAAAAGAAAAGAAAAAGAGTCTTTTAAAAATACAAACTCTCTTGCCTAAACTCTAGACCATAACCTCCTTAAGATTATTCCCAGGGACAAATAAAAATCTTGAAAGTCTTCTCCACAAATAGTAAAGGATTTTAGTGAATAAACTTAAATTATTCCAACTGTTATTTATAACTAGTGATTTTATAACTATACTGTTTTAAAATAGAAACAATAACAAGGAGCCTAGGTGGCTCAGTCAGTTAAGCATCCAACTCTTGATTTTGGCTCAGGTCATGATCTTGTAGTCATGAAATTGAGCCCTGCATCAGGCTCCACACTGAGCATGAAGCCTGCTTGGGATTCTCTCTCTCTCTCTCTCTCTCTCTCTCCCTCCCTAACTCCCTCCCTCACTCCCTCCCTCTTCCCCAAGCCCAGCTCATGTGCTCTCTCTCTAAATGTAATAATAATGATAATAATAATAATAATAATAGAAACCATAAAATCTCTGTGTTTGTCTATATGTATATGTCTGTATGTTAAAAATATGGTGTTTTTCTACTTCTAGATGGCATTACCAAAATTAATTTGTAAAAGAGGTCTATTTAGTTGGCTTAAAGAAAATTAAGCACTCATATAAATTTAGTATTCATAAAAATCCTCAAAAATAAAATAGAAACTTATCCAAATCAATTTCAGGTTTATATGGTTTAGAAAAATATTCAGTATGAAAAGCCAACTTAAGGTTGTTGGTTTTATCAAAATAGGCATGTCTTAGAGTTATCAACATTGACTATAATGGAGACATACAACTTTTTATTCTACTTGAGTTTATTAGGCAGTAAGTTTGTTATCTCTGTTGCAAAATTTGTCATCAAACAATAACTTAAAATGATGGCTAATTTTGTCTAATGTCTCATAGAGATTTCATGGGTGATTTAAACATAATTTTTGGAGCAAATTATTTAGAGAGATGTTTTTAGGTGAACTTTTTAGCAAAAATATGTTTTACAGTATGTGTACTTAAAAATAATTTCCAAAATCTTTGTGACAACCTGGAACTTAAGAGTTTTGCTTAAGTTAAATAATGGAAATTTATTGAAAACCTAGATCATCCAAATAAGATAAAATAATGAAACATTAACTACTAAATATAGGTTTATCTACTGTAAGATAAATTTGGGTCTGTTAATAAATATGTTTTATGCTTTATTAGAAGATTGTATTATGAAGATACATGTTTTTAGAAATTATGAAATCTATTCATAAATTTGAACTTCTAAAGAATGCTGATAAACCTACAGAATGGGAATAGATATTTGCAAATAACATATCAGATTCAGGGCTAGTATCCAAAATCAGTAGAGAACTTATCAAACTCAACACCCCAAAAATAAATAATCCAGTTAAGAAATGGACAGAAGACATGAACTGATACTTCCCCAAAGAATACATCCAGATGGCTAACAGACACACGAAAAAATGCTCAATAGCACTCATCATCAAAGAAATACAAATCAAAACCACAATGAGATACCACCACACACCTGTCAGGATGGTGAAAATTAACCACAGGAAACAAATGTCAAGAATGCAAAGAAAGGGGAACTCTCTTACTCTGTTCATGGGAAAGTATACCAGAGTAGCCACTCTGGAGAACAATATGGAGTTCTTTTGAAAGTTAAAGATAGAACTGCTCTATGACCCAATAATTGCACTACTTGATATTTATCCAAAGAATACAAAAACACAGAT